CGAAACTCACAACACACAATGCAGAGCGCACATACACCCACCTCCACTACAGGGCGAAGGGCCTTGAAGCCTCCAAAGACGAAACGTAGCCTCCTGCGCTTCTTCGCATGTCCCTAAAACTCCAGACGTTCGGCCTCTAGGCTCCAGTTGATTCGGCCCACGGCATGGAAAACCCACCATTATGAGAGACGTAGCCTATGTTGAGCGCTTCTGGAGGCTTGCAGACCCGCCAGGGCATAAACCTTGTATTGGGGTATGCTGGAGCCCTGAGAACACCTACTTGTAAATAAGAAATCTAGTCCCATGAGTTTTTTCTCCTAGGGGTATTCCGAGGCTTGGAACTGTGGGTACCCTTCACTTCCTAGCCCGACGGCATTTGGTTTTGTCCCAGCTGACATAGCCCTTGCATTTCTTAATCAGCCGTTTGAACAGTGCTCATGGTTGCACTGTAATGTTAGGAATATTTAGGAACGCAAACGCCCGTCCTCTTCTAGCTATTGCTACTACTAGCAGTGTTGTAAACATTGCTGTTAGTCCTGGGGTGGTGGTGGGGGGACGCGGGGCGTGCTGTTGACCGTAGTGATTGTCATCTCATTTTGACGGTCGGCGATCGCCAAATGTTCATGTGACGACTCGTTTGGCATGTTCAGTGCTCTTGATCTTGGTGCGGTCATAGCCACTGCTTCTATTACAGCTTCTAGTCTCTGTTATTGCCATCTGTTGTGGTCAGCGTTGGTGTTGCTGTTGTCGTCGTGGTTAGTAGTTGTTGTGGCACTTGTCATGTCCTTGTGGTTGTGGTTGACGCTGCGAGGCGGTTGAAGTGGCGGTGGCGCTTGCGGTATTGTTGCTGCTGCTCTTGCCGCGATCGTTGTGTTGTCGTTGTCGTCGTCGTCCTGGTTGTGGTTGTGGCTGTGGTTGTGGCTGTGGGTGTGGTTGTGGTTGTTGTTGTCGTCGTCGTTGTTGTCGCTGTTGTCGTTGTTGTTACTGTGGTTGTCAATGCGCTTGTGTTTGTGGTGGTGGTGGTGGTGGTGGCGCTGGTGGTGGTGGTGGTGGTGGTGGTGGTGGTGGTGGTGGTTGCGCTTACGGTGGATGTGGTTTTGGTCGTGGTTGTGGTTGTGGTTGAGGTTGTAGTTGCGGTGGATGTGGTTTTGGTTGTGGTTGTGGTTGTGGTTGCGGTGGATGTGGTGTTGGTTGTGGTTGTGGTTGCGGTTGAGGTTGTTGTGGTTGTCGCCGGTTGTAGATCGTTGTTGGTTATTGTTGGTTGTTGTTGGTTGTTACTAATTGTTGTTGGTTGTTGCTGGTTGGTGCTGGTTGTTGCTGGTTGTGGTTCTTTTTGGCGTTTGTGGTTGTTGTTGGTTACTGTTGTTTTTGTTCTTGTGGCTGTTGCCTGTGGTTGCTGCTGGTTCTGTTATGAGTTATGATGATGGCAGGTTTAGGATTTAGGGTTTAGGGGTTTAGGATGGCAGTCAGGGTACCGTTGCTGTGGTATGAAGCTGCCGAGTCCCGAGGCGACACTTTCGGGCAAAAGCCCCAGCCACAAACGGCCATCGCGGTGAGCTGGCCCGCGGGAGCTCCAAGCTGTTAGGGGCCGGTTTAGGGTTTAGGGGTATGAAGGGTATTAGGGGTATTAGGGGTATTAGGGGTATTAGGGGTATTAGGGCATTGGGGGCATTAGGGATATTTTGGGTATTAGGGGGAAGGTCTCGGGGTTGGCGCCTAGGCACAGATGCGGACGATATTCCCCTTCTCTCTCTCTCTATCTCTTTTTCTCGATGCTTGCAGTAATTCGTAGGAGTCGAAACCTTCTGGCCTTAGGCGGTTTTCCGACAGTCTCATCGATTATAGTATCCTTAAGGGAGGAGGGTCCAAGGGGGGTACATAGCCTAGTGATCCCTAATTCTCCCTAGTTCTCCCTAAGGTTCCCTTAGAGTCCCCTAAGGATTCCTTGTACCCTCCCCACTTGAACCACCCTCCCTTAAGGATCGTAAAACATCGAGGCTTCATCACCGTAGACTACAGTGCGAGGATGCGATGCCGTTCAGGGGCCGAGGAATGCCAGAGACAAAATAGTCTACCCTCAAGCGTGGCGATGCCTTTTTTCGCGGATGGATTGGCGGCGCAGCTGAGTGGAACACAGATGCTTGAGCGCGTTCCTTTCGGCAGGACCGGCGGACAGTGGAGTTGAAATGCTGAATCACTCGGCTGCGGCTGACGATAATTCAATGTCGATGTGCTCGAAGCAGACTCAGAGCAGTTCTCGTAGAGCTTGCGGACGCGGACGTGGCATCTTGATGACAACTGAACTGGGACAGACGGAGGCCATCAGACCGGCAGATGCACGATTTCCACATTGCTAGGATGAGTCGACCTCAAGAAGATCGAGAAGATAGTAAGGATCGACGCCATCATGATCTTGATTCTTGATCCTGTGGTGCATACTCCAGGTTCTGCCGTCCCGGCGCTGTCGTAGGATCCCCTTGTGCATCCGAGACAATGCTATCGCCTGTCACCCGAGCAAGTGGTTCCCACGCAAAGTTCACGATATCATCTTCTCTCGACTGCTCAAGTCGAGCCCAAACCATGCCCAAACCACGCCCAAACCTCCCAGCCGACAGCGCTTTGCTGTCGGACTGGGCCTGGATGTGTTGCAAACATCTTCTTTCAGACTTAGAACTGCACTCACTGTTATCTGTTCTGATAAGTGAGGCGTTTCCAAAGGGAGGTGTTGTTGAACTGGAGCTATAGTCTTTTTCAATCCAACGAGCCGCGGCAGTCTCGTGAAAGGCACAAAGTCAGGTTGCTTTTCTGCGCCTTTTGTGGTCTCGAGGCTCCAGAGCTTACTTCGGATCCGAATGCAAACTCGAGCATCCGGGTAGCCGGTTTCAGAAGATCTCCCTCTTCCACGCAGAACCGACCGGCAGAGGAGGAAGAGGAGAAGCTACAGCAGCTGAAGGCACTGTTACAGTCTTTGTATTTTCTTGCCTGAGGTCTCTTGGAGCGCCAACGCCGCAAGGTGCGGGCTGGTTGTTCGTCTCATCGGATGCCTTATTACACTGCTTGTGAAGCTTTCAGGACAATTTAGGGTTTGGTCTCCCTTCATGGCCTGACAAGGGCTGGGATCGCCGGGACGTTAAAGCGTGTTGTCTCAAGTTCATAGCTCCTGCTGCCTGCTGGGTTTCTATGGGTGCACGTGCTCTGCCATGGATTCCAGATTCCTCTGCCACGCAGCCGGAGCTGTGACCAAGCGCCTGACGCAAGTTGTTAGTTCGACTGTTTTTGCGGGCATTGGTGGCGCTCGAAGAATCCCCAAACAACACAAACCACAACGAAGCCAACATCCCCACCGTCCCTGAGATTCCTCGTGTCAGGCCTCCGAGGAGGGCCTCAACTTCACGGCTGGAGGCGCAAGCGGGGGTAAGACTACAGGGAACCCTCTTGGAGTCGGGTGTTGGTTTCTCGCAAAAAAGTAATGACCTGTTCGTGTCGGAGTGCTGAAGCTGTTCCTGGTTCTTTGGAGTGTTCTGAGTGATTGTGAGTGATTGTTCAGGGGTCATGAGACTTTACAAAGGTTCACCATCTTTTCTCTCCCTGAGGTCCCTGAGTGCCTAGGCCTAGGCCTTTGGCAGTTGAGCCTCCGGCAACCTTGCTTGCCAGGGTGGTGGGTGCATGTTTGTTGGTGCTGTGAGTTGACGCCGGTTTGCAAGCAGTCTTACTCGAAGGTTGATAGGTCTTGCCGGTGCAAGTTGCGTCACCCACTGTGTTTCAGTGGCACAACGTGGCAGCAAAGTTTTCTCTACTGTCGGGGCGCATGAAGGTGCAGTCAGCACGGCGGATGCCTTCTCCGAGAGCCACCAGAAGGAGGACTTTGCGGCCAGCATGTCACACCAATGCTTCAGTTTGTCCAGCCATACCCACGCCCCTGCAACGAGCATGTTCCAATCCAGAAAACTTTTGCCTCATCCTCGTTGCTTCTTCGGCAATGCTCTCAAAATTTGACCAGGAGCTGGCTCAGGAGGCACCCGAAGGCGCGATGGGTTTCAGCTTCGCCCAGCCCTATGCTTCGGGATGAAGATCTCTCTGCCTTTGCCGGTTTTGCGCCTGAGCTGTTTTCCGCTCCGTTGCTGCTGGGATCGAAGGCTCATGCCGCAGAGCCCGAAGAGCCACAAGATCGAATCTTGCATGGGGCTTCTCAAAACCGAAAAATCTTATCATTGCGAAGCGTGTCTATATGCTTGCCCAGACGGAGAACGATCACGAACACAACCGAAGATCAGCACACGATCCCCGACGAGCCCACAGCCCGAAACAGTTACGCCCCTGAGCGCCCGCTTTGGTATCCAGGCAGTAGCAGGCCAAAAGCACAATTGTGCAGAACCGAGCTTTAGGGGGAGCCATTCGCTGTGCTGCGGCAGCGGGCACGAGTGTCGCCTGCAGGCTCGGGTATCCTCAATGAGAGGGTACGTAGGATGTTCGCTTTCAGAAAGAGGGGAGGGGCCGGAATAAAGGTTGCTGTACGGGTCGCCATCATGCTCCCTGAGGCAACAGCAACTTGCAAAACGTAATCCCTAACAAGCTTGCTGCGGATTCCCCGATAGCTTTCTGCAAGACAGGATCCTCCCAGTTGGAATTATCCAGTAACTTGAGAAAAAACCCTCCCCCCCAACAGCCAAAGGCTACGCGACCTCCTCTAGCGTGTGGAAGCAAAGCACCGCCTACGAATTGGACTGCCCCACTTGCTTGTCGCAAAACAAGAGCCCAAATCGGGAATTCCACATGAGCTTGTCGCCCCGCAAATTGGAATTTCCTAGTGGGTCGATGCAAAGCAGGACCCTGCAAACTGGAATTACCCATGAGCGAGGCTTAGAAGGCTACTTTTTTTAAATCGCTTTTGTTCTTGTGTTGCCTGCCTTTATTAGTATTTTTTTTTTTGTGTGTGTGTGTGTTGACTGGTTTGTGTTCTGTGTTAAGTTGCCCGCAAAGGCTTCCGAGATCGTCTGGCGATGCGACTCTTGCTGGCGGTTTCGGCAGTAGCGGTGCTGCTGGCAATTCTGGCGCCAGGGCTGCCTTTTCTCCTGGGGCTGTTCCGAGTCTTGTGGGGTGTGAAGCAGTCAGAAGCCAGTGGTGCTCGGCTTATCCTCAGCAGTCGTGCTGTTGAAGTCGCTTCTGCAATTCGTGCTGTCACGCCTCAGCGAAGCATCACTAGCCACTGGTCCTCCAGATTCCCTCCGAAACGAAAGAGAAAGACCCCCGCTTCGTGTGACTGCGGGCCTGGGCAGGCGCCCGAATTCATTCCCAGCTTTCTGGCTGATACCGGCAGAGTGCTGGAGGAGACCGGTCTGCCGGGATGCCTCGTATTGGGTAGACGTAGAGCATCCGGTTCCCCTCAAAGAGCCGACTCGCCCATCGTAGAAGTAAAACCTACCGCAGCAGCGACTGGGGAACCCCATGTTGTCTTGTTGTCTTGAAGGACTTGTACCTGCAGCTGTTGTTGCTGCCTGGCGCTGCCAATGCGAGTGTGACGCCCACCAAGACGGCAGGCGGAATCGACCAACAATGCCTCAGAACCATCCTCGGCCTAGTGACTAGTGGTCCGAAACTGGATCAAAAACGAGTAAATTACATTCCATGAGACTATGACAGCTAGGTTAGATTGCCCTTACTTCTATGACTTTGTGTTTGCAGTCTATCAGAAATTCTACACACCTACCTGCCTTCGTGTGCACATTTGCAGGCGCGGACTTGAAACAGGAGCAGCCGGAGGAGACAAGGAGCCATAGCTGCGACAGCCCCGAAGACATGTGGCCCTTCTTACCCAAGGTTGTTCAAGTCATGTTTCACGCGGTGTCACATCGCGGCCTGATCATATCTTGCAGGAAAAATGCCGACACCCTTCTGGAAGAGGCAGATGAGCCTTGGCCAGATGACTCCAGATGAACGAAACCCTCGTTGGCGGTCAGTGGCAGCAGCACTCCTAAGTCCTACGTAGCCATCGAGAAGCGCACAGGGAGTTGATGCGGACTTGGCCAGTGTGCAGGGTCAGGGCCTTCACATTGATCAAATCTTGTTGCGATCTGCACCCAGTCTGAATTGGCACGAAGACCTCACCTACACAACCCCCCACAAGGTGCTCAGGCAGAAGAAGGCCACAAACGAGAGAGAAATAGATGCGCAGCCCCTTGTCCGGATCGGGAGATGAGTCTGACAGCAGGAGACATGGTTCGTGGAAGTGTGCAAGCAAGGTTTCCACACTGCTGTGTGTAACAACTATACACCTCCTTCATAGCTAGGCCTTCGACTCAGGCTCCACGCGTGTTGATTCGTAAGGCCCTGCACGTGCAAAGTCGGGTCGAGCATGATGGAGTTAGCGTGATTCCAAGAGTCTTTGCACCCAGGCTCATCCGGCTCTTCAGGCTCAAGGCCCGTCTGATTTGTGAAGATTTTAAGCACAAACGAAGTCTTCCGAGCAACTCAGCTAGAAAGATACCTTTTCATTTTGTCGACCTTTTGCTCACTCGTGCTCCGAGCCCCAGAACTCTCACACCCCGAGACGGCAGCCCCAACAAAGCAACAGCAAGAGCAAAAGAAAGGTTGCACACCAAGCCCAGGCAGCGTGTTAGCGCCCAGCGATATGCCGAGGCACGTCGTGCTGAGCCGGACATGCCGGCGACGCGGCTGTGCATCTATTGTTCAGTGACGTCTGGCAGGGTGTGGGGTTTCATGTGAGGTATTTCGGGTGCGGCATGGCTCAGTAGGATGGGGTTCGGTTTTCGGTTTCAATTCTGAGGCTTTCGGGTGAATTGAGGATCATGTAGCACCTAATGCAAGACAAGACCTGGCAAGACGCTTCCTCCCGCCTTCTTGCTGGTTTTGGTGGCCTTTGGAGGAGGGGTTGGACGATGCAAACAATGAGTCAAACAATTTCTTTGCAATCTACATGACTTGCATCTGTCAGTGTTGCGCCAACCAGTGTGTCGAGTAGGCGAATGATCATTCGCAGCGCTTCGTGACGTGCACGCTTTCTACTTTTCACCATTTTCTGGAACAGGTTCTTGTGCAAGCACTCAGGACATTGTGCCGCTGCCCCTGGAACATCCCGACGAGATTCGCCAACGCATGGTGGTCGACAGGCCAAGCAGTAAGTGGATCAAGAGCAGCAGTCTGCAGACTTTGTCGGCAGCAGCGAGGCAGCAAGCGCCCAGCCCTAATCCCTCGAATCAGGTTCGGCCCGGAGATGCGGTGTGGCGAGACTCTTCCGCCGGAGAGCCGCATCACGACTCGCCCCGCGGCAGCAACATGCAGTCGCTCCTCCTCACTGCCGTCGTCATGGAGCTCGTGCTAGAACAGATTGTTACTATGCCTGTCCCTTGAACGGTGGAAGGCTTGCCAGGCAGACTTCACCCTGTTTTGAAGAAGTAAAATCAAACGAGGCCGAAGGATAGAAGTTATCATCTAGAGAAGACCAAATAGACTTAACATCCTCCTGGAACACGAGGGAATCCTCTTTCCAACCGAAGCCTGGAGCCAAGCCTGCTACTCAAAGTGCTGTGTTAGGCCCGTCTGGAAAGGTGCTACGAAGAAGTTTTGCACCTATGCTGTAAGATTGCATACTCATACAATAGGGACCAGAACAGCGCACTTACACATTGGCCACCCGGAAATCTAGGAATGCTGGAGGGAAAGGGTCCGATCGAGATCGGTCAAGGGCAACACAATGATGCTTGTTTAATATAGGGGCCTTACTAACTAGAATAGTTAGGGTTTTGGGGCACGTTATGCTGTTGTTATAATAAGGAACCCCCCAAAATAGTATTGGCAATCATTTAGGGCCCTATATTAGCTCGGCAGTGTCTGTTGGCATCGTTGACTTCCGACCCCTGAAAGAAAGACCACCTGAACTTGGCAGTCGTAGCATCAAGCCGATGATTTTTTCGGGTCAAACAGCAGGCACCAATGGTCTAAACCAATCTCTTTACTGTTCTCCGCAAAGCTGTGTTTCTTTTTGTACATTGGCCGCTTTGGGACCTCCGCGTCACACCGCAGCCCAGGCAGCGTTGAGCTCCATGCAGAGTCGATTTTTCAAGGTACCTGCGAGCAGTCCAAGACTGTCAGGTTTCAAGGTTGTTGGACGGGTGATGTCTGTTTGCATGCCAATATCCTGGCAATTCAGTGTGTCGCCCAAACGTCTGGGCTGAGCAACATAACTATGGCACCCATTCCCTAGCTTGCTTCCTTTTCTTAAGATGCTAAGTCTAAGTAGAGCTCCCGAAGTTCGCACTGCAGACATTTCAGAAATGGCACAGAAGCGATATATCAAGACAAACACCAATGTGCCATGCATATACATGAAACAATATGGTTGTCGAGTTATTTTGGTTTAGACTCTTGAAGTTTGTTTTTGATATGTCCCAAACAACTACACTATTTAGACCTATTCGACCCGACCTCGAGGTTCCTACGGAGGCCAATTTGCGTGGAAGTACGTGGTGACCTTCTCGAACCACGGTGAGGTCGGCGGGAACAGCAAGCCGTGACTAAGACCATGCCTAGATTGGGTTGCCCCCGAGCCGTTCAAAATGTCATCTCGAGTGGTTTCGTGGACTCACGTTTGGACAGCTCGGTGGGTTACGGGTTTGATGGTTTAAGGTTTAGGTTTTAGTGGCGCTCATTTGACCCATGGGTTGGCAAACGATGTGATAGGTTCGTTGTAGAAAAGTCTTAGCAGAGCCCTTGTGTAAACAGCAATTCGTCAACACCTACCCGCGAATTCTATAGGTTGCGTTGTTGTGGGACGTGCTAAAGTGAGTGGTTTAACGGAGCTCAAGCCAAGATTACACGGTCCGAGAAATCATGGGCCTATATACAACCGGAGTATTCCGCGACTGTAGTAAAGACGTGGTCGGCCAATACAGATGATGATGCTTTTCCACTCGTTACTAAGCTCTGCAGTTCTACAGTCAGATGCTCTACCGACTGAGCTATAGCCGGCTGGTCTGCATCTCTACACCGAGAAATCCCTGCGTGTGGGTTGGAATCTTACTATAGTGGAACAGGACATGAGGAATACAAGGGAGTGGATGCATGAGCACAATGTTTCAGCAAGTAGCCGGATAGTGAGGATGATAGACGCTGTTGTGGACCATCAGCTTATTTTAGAGAGGTCCTGAAATAAGGCATGTGACGAGGATATGGCTCCGGATACAGATAACTTGGACGGCTACTCCATGACGCAGTAAGGGGTACCGGGTAGTGTAGAGAAGTATACATGGCACCCATATGGTTTTATGTAGAAAGATATACATACAGTTGTATATATGTATGTATGTATGTAGGTACTTAGGTGGTATGTATTATCTATCGATGTATGTACAGGCATGCATGCATACATACATACATACATACATGCAGACATACATAAATACGTACATACACACAAACATACAGATGTACATACGTAAAGACTTAAGATGCACACATGTTGATTGTGATCGGTTTTTCCATTGCAAGAGTGTACCTGGCAGGAGACCGTCCAAATGCTGACACGGCACTGGGTTTTCGTCGATGCCTTGGGCCGACTGGAGACAGAGGTGAAGGGCCCGGGTCATTGGGCTGCATTCTTGGCTCGGGGCAATGGCATTGCGACTCTTCAGGAAGGGTCCTCGTAGTCAGCCCAGCGCGAAGGGCATTGGACCATTGGATTTCCTCGCTGCAGTGTGCGAGATCTGCCATGTCCTTCGCTTGCTGCTTCTTTTCGAATGGCAGGTGCTCGTGGTGTCACCCCGGTGCTGCCTCCGGGCGGTCAGTGGGTCTACGAGAGCGGAACGCGCCTGAAGACTCCGCATGGCACAATGCATGGAAGCACCCCGGCAGCAGATGGCCTGGGGCCTAGGAGTGACTCAGTCTCCAGGCAGGCTTGTCTTGTGAACCAGGCTTCCAGTTCGAGATTTTGAAGAGCAGCCAAAGGCGGGGGCTTCACAGCGCCTGCGCTCTGCACGTGCAACTTCGGCATGTCGGGAAACAGCCCCTCCACTCGTGGATTCTGCAAAGGCTGTCGGCCACAACGAAGAAAAGACCAAACGACTGCCGAGACTGGCCCTGTATCAGGCTTGACAGCCGCTCCTTCAGCGCTCGAGTGGCCGGGACCAATTTGTAAAGTCTAGAGTGCCTTCCTAGAGTTGTGTCTTGTTAAGAGCGGTTTGACATTCTTCAAGAGGTGTTGGCTTTGGGGATGCTTATCGTGAGGGTCTGACCCAGAAGGAGCTGCATGATAGTAAGTCTGTGCCCAACAGTGCTATGGAGGATTCTTACTCTTCGGTTTCTCTGTGCCCGGACCTGAAGGCCAGGTCAGGCCAGGTTGTCGATCTTACCTTGACAGAATCGTTTCGGCTCTCAACTGCGCTCGATATGGCGAGACGAGAATCAAAAGACTGAGCCGAACGCCACATCTTCACGCCCAGGTCGGCCGCCTCGCACTGTCGGAGGATGGGCGGCCAAAGAATGTGCCTTGCGTGTCGGAGGCAGAGGAAGGCCAGCGCGGGGGAGCGTCTTCTAGGACCGGAAAGAGATTTTTTTGGCTCTCTGGTGTCGTGGGTTTACATCCAGCTGAGTCGGAATGTCCTTCTTCCTCACGGACGATGTTGACTGGCCATCTGACACAGCGGCTGTCTGCACCGCAACTTCTGCCTTTCCTATTAGATTACTACTGCTACTACTGCTATTACAGCTATCATCATTACTATTGCCACTACCGCAACCGCAATCACTGCCACTACCCCTAACCACCACAACAACTGCTACTACTGCTACTGCTACTACTACTACTACTACTACTACTGCTGCTACTACTACTACTACTGCTACTACTACTTACTGCTACTACTGCTACTACTACTACTACTACTGCTACTACTACTACTACTGCTACTACTACTTACTGCTACTACTGCTACTACTACTACTGCTACTACTGCTAAGCCCCTTGGCTCCGCCAGGATGAGAAAGAGAGATGTTGTCGAAACAGCGGGACCCTGCCACCCCAACAGTAACGGGTGCACTAGAAGGTACGAGTGCCTCAACCTCAACACGGCTGTAGGCTGCATGATGGCTGCGCTTCTTGCCTGTCTGTTCCCACTTGCCCCACCATGGCAACAGGGCTCAAACTTTGTGCTACAGAGTCCCAACTGGACAGCCTCCAGTCCGTGTGATTGGTCCGGCTCTCAGCATCTGCAGCTTCCCTTACTTTTGTGGCCAGTTGCTAGGTGCACTTCAGAGCAGCTGTTTCCGAGCGCCGCCTTCTGTGCTCAAGCCTCGCTGTCGCATAGCCCGCTCAGCCCAGGATGTCCCCCAAGGAAGCACGGAGAGGCAACCCATCGAGGTCGCGATCTGGAAGGCCTAAGGCCAAAGCGACGGTGGCTCCGGAGACCTCTTCATCTGATAGCCCACCGAGCCCACCGAGCTCGGGCGAGGAGGCCACCGCTCCGCCAGCTGCTACCACAAGTGCTCCAGCAGGACCTCCTCCTCCAGTGCCGGTCAATAGGCCACGCGGAAGCGTTGGATGTGCCAAAAGTAAGCCCGTGGGGCCGCCTCCACCGACTCCAGCATCCTGCACGTCTCTTCCGACAACACCGGTGCAGGCCTTCGCTGCCATGGCTCCAGGAGGCTTACCAGCGGGTGCTCCACCAAGCACAGGGCCTATCACTGTCGCAATGGGAACTGTTCCTACGCTTCCATCGCCTACTCCGACCTTGCTGCCTCCTCCGACTGCACCCCCAGCACCGAGTGTCAATGCAGCAGAGGGAGTTTCGGGCACACCAGCTGGACCTGCACAACAGCAGCCAGCCACTATCACTACCAAAGTGGCGGGCTGGACTTTCACGCTTACGGTTAGGCCACCGAGCTGAGCCACGAGACAACAGGTTCTATAGTGGCCAGGCACGAGCTTTCTGCAGAGCTTGCACTACAGGTGCACCTGACAGCTGTCAGCTCTCTGCCGTCTCTTCCTGTATGCAGACTTGTTGTTTTGTGCCCAGCAGCCTCTCGAATGGGACTCACAAAAGACGTGCTGTCTCTGTCGGCGCACTTGTACTGACACCACCTTGGAGCCAGCTGTCACTGCTAACTTGGACTATCCTTTATGCTGACTGCACTGCCCAGGCCGACCTCATGGCAGACTCCAATGACTTCGCGAAGGCTCCAGGTCAGCGGTGCCCTCCATTTGCACCTGGCATACCTTTGTCGAACGCTGCTTGCCACAGGTCTCAGGACCCTCGAGACGTCCACTTTGGTGTTCTCCCTGCCCACCATGGGGCTTGGATCTCAGATCTGCAGCTGCAATCCGTGACCAGCCAACATGAGACTCTGCCGTGCTCCTGCATGCATTCTGCAGCCCCACCATGTGGTTGTCGCGTGTGTCTGCAGCTTTCCACAAACCAAGACACATTGATGACTTTGGTAGAGCATGGGGTCCTACAGTTGACTGCCACTACTTCCGACCTTCTTGCTTCCCTTAGGGCTGGGAGACCTCTCGCCGAATACTTGCAGGTATCATCCCCTCAACTTCTTAAGTCAAGGGACTATCCTGTCATAACGAGCCCCACCTGTGCCCTTCGAGGGATCATGGAGCCTGCCTCCGAGCCTGGCCGGCCGCAGTGGCAGGCGGCACTCGTCCCGCTTACAGTGGGGACTGAAGTAGAGGTGATCGACGGTCACAGACGTCATCTCGTCGGCCGCCGAGGGATTGTGCTCCCTACCTTGGAGTGTGACCGCAACACTACGCGGAATGTGCGGATCATACAAGGCCCTCGGGATGAACAACGTCGTACTTTTACAATCGACAAGGAGCACCTCGCTCCCCGACTGGGGTTGGAAGCCACACAAGCTTCCATGTGTGATGGAATGGAGCCGAGTCTGAGGTGGAGATGTGCTCCCCCACCATTAACCATCTACAGCGCCCGATACCTCCTCGGCTATCAGGCCCTGGAGACCATGGTGCCTCCGGCGGCACCCAAACGGAATCCAGCTGGCCACTATATCCATCCCCCGGTGGAAGATGCTACGCTTGAGGCACCCTGGGAAAAACACGTTGACCAAGCTAGCGATCGGCCCTTTTACTACCACCCGGGGACAAAGCAGGTGACCTGGCGCAAACCTCGGCCTGCCCTGGTTCTTCCGAGGGAAGAGGAGACTGGACCCACCAAGCCCAGGCGAGGCAAGACTGCGATTCCCCAACCTCGTACTCCGAGTCCGCCTCCTCCCAAGAGGATGAGAAAGCATCCCACCAGCGATGCTCCGCAGAACACCACGAGCTCTACGACTCAGTCTTCAGCTTCTGCCACAGCTACAGGGACACCTACTACAGAGAGGAAGCCCGCTCCGGCCTTTGATCCCCGATCTTCTGGTGGCCCTTCTGAATGGAACCTGGCCGACCATGCTTTACCTGCCTCTCCAGATCGGGTACTGATCTGGGGGGCCAAGGCCAGGACACAGCTGCCCCAACCGCCGAGTGCTCCTGCTTGTACCCTGGATGTGGAGAGGTTTCTACAGAGCTTCTTCGGGACACGGCAAGGCCCCACTGGCACATCTCTTGCCACCCTACTCGGAGACCCAGTCCCGCAACCTGATGGTTGGTGGAGGCTCCCGTGGACACCACTGGATCCATGGCACTGCGAGCTGCTGTGTCAGGATGGCTGGCTAAGGGGCTGGCACGGATGTAAGATGGAGGCGCTTTACTCCATCATCTACCATGGCCAACTTCTCCCGAGCACTGACGAGTCGAAAGGCGACAGATTCCTGGCAGGCTGTCCAGGGGTGTATCTGCACCGCGACAGCCTGCAACACAAGGTGGAGAACTACATGCGATGGATACCACTATGTGGAGATGGTCTCTTTTGGGCTGCCAAGTGGGAGGTGGTGTATGCTCCCTCGGGGAGCAACAAACATGGCAAGCGTACCGATCAGGTTATACAAAGTGCTGAGTCGGTGGAGCTGGTGGCCCTCTGGCTCTCCGTGCGCTCCGAGAACATGCTGCCTGAGGGAACTGCTGTGCAGGCCACATGGACGCCTGCTCGTGAGGCCAACCCCTGCCTCACAGAGTCCAAGCGGCGAAGCAGTGCTTTGATACAGGCTGTGGACTTTGCGGCACTTTCTGCTTCCTCCAGACCTTTGCCCAGCTCCAGTTCGCGGCCTGACCCTGCGATCGACGACAAAGGCCGACTCAAGCCGACACCCAAAGCTCGTGGTCGCCTGCCACACATCCCTTCTGAACTTGAGAAGGACTGCACACCTGCACAAGCGAAGCTCACCATACAGGCAGGAGATCTCGTCCTTCGATCGGCCACAGCACATAGTTCGGAGACTCCTAATGCTCCGACCATGGTTTCGGCTGCTACCTTGGCCGACCCATCAGATCCACCTCAACGAGGACCCAAACGGGTTCGATCTGATGCTTCCTCTCCGAAACCAAGGAGGATGCAGACACGGCCCAAGCCGAGACGATCGATTTGGTTTGACGTCACGGACAACCCGGCTGATCCACCACCTACGACCTCCTCAACCGCAGCCAAAGGCCGTGGCACTGGGATGACCAAAGCTGCGAGGCACCAAGAACGCGTCCGCAAGAAGATGGCCAAGAAAATGGAAGAAATCTTCCAGGCCAATAGAGCCGCTGGACTTCACTCGGACTCAGCGGCCTCACCCAGTGCAGCATACAAGGATCCAGCCTGCTGTTCATCATGTCCACGTCTGCATCGGCATAGTCAGTCTTGCCTGAAGGCACACATGTTCTCCTCCCATCAATCGGGCAAGCTTCATGTCTTCGCTCCCCTAAGGTCTGGCCTACTGGCGGCTTCGCCAAACCAGGATGACACAGGCAGGGATCGCTTTACTGAGTGCTCGGAGTTGCAGACCTCTGCACCTAGGATCGAGCAGCCACCTGGGTGGGTTCCCTGCTCACAAACCTTCGTTGCTCCTTCCACCAGTCACTGCCTGCAACACTTGGGGCCATCAGGCTTGTATCTCCCGACCTGCCGGATGCCCGCCGGCACGCCCGACTCCTTGCAGGTCCCTTCGTTAATCTACTGGGGGTTTGAAAGGCACCTGAGCTCTTTTCCATGTACCCATCCAGGCCTTGAACGTCCGGTGTGCACATCTACGACAATGCCAGTCGGGATCACATGGCACTACGGTGCCTCCCCACACCGTGTTCACTATCGCTGTGTCGTGCCTCGAGGTATGTCAGCTGCACTGGCAACAGGCCCCACTCCGTTGCATGCCTATTGCTCTCGTAATGATTGCTCCAGCCATCGCACCTGGCAGGGGTGGCCAGACGCTTTCCTGACTGACAGACCTGAACACTGCCTGGTGTGCCTTCGACACACCAGACCATCTGCTGCTGGACCTGCTTCGGTCCGGTGTCCACCTCCACCACCAGGAGCTGGTCTGCAACCCGACGGGCTCTCAGATCTCGAGACTGTCGCCCCCAAGCGGCTGCTAATCCCAACTCGCGGTTCCCTTAGCCTGCCTTCAGGTCTGTCTTCGCCATTGGGCGCAGGCCAGCGGATTGAGCAGACATCACCTCGAGATATGTTCCTGTCCAATTCGTGCAGGACATCCCGGGCACGTGGCTGGCCTATCGTCTGGCGGACCCATGCTGTGAGTGGTGTCGGCTTGAATATCGTAGAAGCACCCCCTATGCCACCCGCATGCAACAAACTAGCACCTCGCAGACCAACAAGATCAGATCCCGTGAGTCAGTTTCTGCCGAGCCGTTGCAACCCAAGGTTTCCCCTCCGGCCCTGGATCTGCACACTATGGATTAGATGTGTAGATGAACTGCTGCACCGTCCTTCGAAGTCGATGCCAGCATTTCTGACAACATGGACAACTGGCATCCCGAAGTGCCTCTCTCATAATCTCAACATACCTGCCCTGAGCCACTCCGGTCCCAATTCCGGAGACCGACTTTTTCATACGGCTGACAACCTGTTATCTCCCAGACACCCGCTGGTTGTCCATCTAGCCTCCGAACAGTCGGTAGGGGCGAGGGTTGTGAGCGGCTGCCACCCGCTCACGAGACCGAAACTCACCTTCGTGGTGGGGGACGGGAAGCCGTGGCAGGAGCCCAATGAACTACACTCTGCTGTGAGGGCAGTCTTGCGAGACCCCCCACAAAACCACACTACATGCTTTGACCTAGGAGTTACTCTAGGCATCGCCTGCTCTCCTAGCCTGACCTCCACTCCGTTTTCAGTCATCTGTTCATCGTGGGCTGGTCCGGGTGATCAGACTGCAGGCCCCTGTGGAGTGCCGAACAGCCTGGACAAGCTGCTGCTAGGATATGTTCCACTGCAGTCCAAGCCCCGGTACTTCTTCCTCTACAAACAGGGTCTCCCTGTTCGCCTCGTTGCCATCCGGGCTCCAGCACTTCTACACCTTACCTCTCCTGGCCTTTCTCGCTCTCGGAGGCCTTTCCCTGGAGTACAAACACTAGCACCTGCCACTCGATCAACCCACACTGCTGACAGGTCTTGCCCTCCGTCGACTACGTATTGCCCCAGCCAGACCCCGGGCACGACGCCGTACCCCAGGCAATGCCCTCGCCCCATCCTGTTCCTCTCGACTTTGTTTGCACTACCAAGGTCGATCTGGGGAGTGCCATCTGCACACCCCCTGCATCCTACAGCTGCACATCACTCAGCGACCCTCAATCAGGCCACCGTCCATACAAATGCGCACACATTTGCCAGGAAGCGATCCTACAAACGTGCCCTACGTCGTGCTGCACAGGACGAGGCCCAGCATACGATTTATCGCGGTCGTATCTGTACCCTGCAACAGCTCTGCAAGGGCTATCGGGGCCATCGACCCGCCCCTCAGGCTGAGCGTCGCATGCAGCAGGCCGCTCTGAAAGTTTCCCAGGGACGCCTGCTGTTCCTCTCATGGAATGCTGGAGGCTTGTCCCAGGCCCTGTGGCAGGAATTCTTGCTGACACTTGAAAACATGCCACCTGACGAACGACCCCAAATCGTGTGTGTCCAAGAAACCCATTGGACGGACAAGGTGGCGCCAACATTCCCCACTGCTACCTGGGACGTGTACACCTCCCCAACCACAGACAACAAATCTGCTGGGCTTCTGATTCTTCTCAATAAGAATGCCACCCGCAACTGCAGAATTGTTTACGCCGACCCTCAACCGGGCAGGGTGCAACACTTGAGGATACTCCACGACAAATGGGCAGTTGACCTGCTGCACATCTATCAAAAGCCGCACAACTCTCATCCACTCGCACTGCAATCCTCGAAAACCATACGTTTAGCTGTCTGGGAGTGCATTGGCAAGATCCTGGCAGCTCTGCCTGCCCGAAACACAGTGATCATGCTTGGAGATTTTAATACTCAGATCAAGCCGTGTGCTGCAGCCGGCACCAGGATCTGTTCAGGCACCAGCACGAGCACACATCCGCCAGATCAGGCAAGGCTACAGCACCTGGTAGAGGACTTTTCCCTCTTACACCTCAACTCGTGGTGCAAGGCGGCTGGCCCTACATACCATCACAACAAAGGTGCTAGCCTTATCGATCATATCATCATGCGTTCCAGCCAAGCGGATGATCGTGCTAGGCAGGCGAGACCGCTCCGCCTGGGATTGGCTGCCTGGAGACTTGGTGGGTATCACCTGCCACTGAAGGCCAGCATCCCGCTTCAGCGTTTCCACACCCTTAACAAATCGGTGGCACCACAACGGGCGTGGGACCATTGGGGCCTGATTCAGGTTTGCCGCTCTACCTGGGACCCGAGAGTTCAAAGTCTACGCTCTGCTGTCCAGGCGTCCCTACCAGGGGTTCATGATCTTGGGCAATTGCATGACACTCTGATCCACTGTGCCTCCCAATTCTTCCCGCCACCCGCAGGACAGCATCGACTGGCACTATGGCAAACACCGCCTATGCAGGATGGCATTCGCTCCATGTGGCAGGCCTACCGAGTCTGGAAGACAGCCAAAGCTCAAGCTCAGCATAATCCGCTCTATGTTTCCAGGTGCTACCATCACTTCAAGACGGCACACAAGGCCTTTCGTCGTGCCGGGAAAGAAGCCAAAAAGCACTGGTTCCATGGCAGACTACAGGAACTCCAGACTGCTGCCAGCTCAGGCGACTCTCGCAAGCTATATGCTGGCATTCGTACCTTAGCTCCCAAATCCTCCAAGCCGAAGGTTCAACTGCGAGATTCTGGCGGACATCTGCAGGATCCCAAGACCCAGCTAAAACAGTTAGAAACGCACTATCGCAAACTGTATGCTGCGGACGAGGATGGCAGCATACAGGGTCCCCAGCGACAGCCCATTCACATTGAAGTCACGGAGGCCGAAATGACCCTGGCGCTTTCGCAATTGTCACCGCATAAAGCTACACCTCCGAACTTAGCCACCAACTCTCTATGGAGGCTAACCTCGGACCTCGTTGCGCCTCTCTTGTGCCAATGGTGCCGGCAATGGCCTCAAATACCAGAGCTTTGGAGAAGCGCATGGTTGACTCTTGTTCCCAAGATTCCGCGACCACTTTCACCTGCTCGATTTCAACACCTACGGTTGTTGATCGTCACGCACAACAGCCGAAACCCTGCCCACACTTTGCAGGTGCACAACTGTCGCTGGACCTTTCCAGTGCTTTTGACCTCATGGACTGGCGCCTGCTGGACAAGGCTTTACTAGCGTCCGAAGTTCCGGCTGAGCTCAGACACCAAATCATGTCCTGGCACTCTGAAATCTCCTATGTCCTTACTCACCTTGGGCACACTGCCAAGGTGGAGGCCCAAAGAGGACTTAGACAAGGGTGTAAACTGGCTCCGTTGCTCTGGACACTCGCCCTAGCACAGATATATCGTGAGATCCTTGCTGAAGGGGACCCGCTTCTCACAGCCCCTTGGCTAGAGCAATGCTCCACGATTTATGCTGATGATATACACCTCAAGGATACTGTGCAGAACACTCGTGAGCTGGACGACATGGTGTATCGCTTTAGTAAGATCCTCGATGCCCTTGCGGCCCATGGTATGGTCATCAACTCGGCCAAATCAGCATTGCTACTGAGACACAAGGGCAGTTTCATCCGAGGCTGGCTGCGCCGACACCTCATACCCAAACCCGAGGGGGATCTCCTACGTTTTCGCAGCCCACGAGGAACAGTGTATGAAATTCCATTGCGTGACCACCACACGTACTTAGGCATACGTATCTCCTACCATTCACAGGCCAAACAAGCAGTCACCTACCGGCTGCAGGCTGCGAATCAGGCCTGGCAAAGACTCCGTGGTGTACTGTGCTCCACCAGGCATCTCGCTCAGACGCATCGTCTCAGTCTATGGACATCCACAGTGCTTCCCACGCTGCTCTATGGTATCGCAGCATCTAACCCAGGTGCCAAGGACATACAGCGAATGCAGCACATGATGACCAAGCAGGTTCGAGCCATCACACGATCCTTTGCACATCTTCAGAAAGAATCCACACGGGACCTTCTACACAGATGCTCTTTGTCCACCATTTTGGAGCACCTACAGAGGGAAGCCGCTGCCTTGCATCGTAGCCTGACTCGCCTGAGCACTGAAACGAGCTTCGTGACCCAAGCCCAGGTGGAATCAGCTCGAGACACTGCCGCTACACTTCACCTCCAAGTGCAACGCCAATGGCAGGTTCCTCTTGGGGACACAGAAGGCATCACAGATCCTGCTGTACATCAGTGCCAGGAATGTCATCGGGTCTTTACCTCCTTTCGACTCCTCCGCTCTCACGAGGCTAAGTGGCATGGCCTCAAAACACCTGCTGCTGTCTCGGTGCCTTTTGACAGGTATGCACATGGAACAGAAGGACTTCCAACGTGCAGACACTGTGCCCATCCCTTTCGACAATGGGATGGCCTCGTTAAGCACATTAAACGCAATCGGTGTCAGGTACTTCGTAGACTTGCCACACAACCTCCTGCTGCTGCCCCACCCTTGGCTCCGAGTTCTGATGACTCTGATCCTGTACCAGTCCCTGACCCGGTTACTCTGCCACCCCAGGATCTGCCTCCGGAGACTCACATCCTGTCAAACGACCAGGCTGCTATGCCCCCGCCTGCTCCTGTCGACATACCTGAACCCCCTGTCTTGGATGCTCTCCTGCAGGATAGCTCCACTTCGCCGAGCCACGAGGCTGCTCCTCTATATCAGCAATCTCATGTGCTTGAGACACTAAGTGCCCGCAGGTGGACTGACCTCCTTGTGAAACCGGAGACCTACTCGTACCTCCAGCACCACTGCCCGCTGTGTTACCAGTGGCTAGCCACTCCTACCAGCATCAAGTATCATCTCACCATGCAACATCCAGAGTGGAAAGAATGCCAACCTGCGACTCTCAAGCTTCTTACTGGCTTCCGCCGACATACTGTTGTACCATGTCGATACTGTCATCAGCGAAACATCAACAAAGATCGTCATTGGAAACAGTGTCATGTTTTGCACATTTGCGCCTTTCTAGCAGTGCACCATGACACTCTGCGCGGATCCCATGGAGCTGGACGAACAGGAGAAGCAATTTTGGGCCCATGCCGGTCCGGTCAAACGGGAACAGGAACCACGACGAGATGTGCTGCATCAAACCGAGCAATCCAAGAGGCAGCGTCTGGCTCCGCAGGACCGGAACAAAGGCAAGGGCAAGGGTACCAAGGGCAAAGGCAAGGGAAAGCAGGGCCTACCAAGTCCATCCAGTGCCAACCAGGTCACGGGCTACACAAATGGTTTCGGAAGCCATCCACCCAATCCCTGGACACAGACCCAGGACCTGCAGCCACTGGGAAATCACGATCCAGACTGGATGGAGTACAGGATGAATCGACTATCCCAGCTGGTCCTTCGTCAGGAGCAAATCATCTCAGCCATCCGTCAGGACCTGGTCCTCTACCTCTTTGTACGCTCAGGGCCAGAAGGGATGGTACCGGTTCTCTGCGAAGCAGCGGAGAAGTGGAGGAAGATGAAAGAGGAAGAACCCGAGAAGATTACTTACTCCCTCAAACTCATGCTCTTCAAGCAGCTGCTCATCACCTTACACCAGAGGTTGACCAACATGATTGCGGACGAGGATGCTCTCGCCAAAGCCAAGAACCTGAACTGGATCGACGATCAGAAACATTGGAAACATCTTACATGGAATCCTACCAAACAATGTCTGGAAGTCGACAACTCAGTGAGGCCAATACCGGCGGAAGATCTGCTGGCCCAACTGGTTCAGATGAGGAAGGCTGTTACGGAAGAGACCCTGGTGAGGTTCAAGTCCATGAGGAAGCTCACCACGGAGGTGACCTCCGACTGGATTCAGTTCCAGATCTGCATGTCCCTTCGCCCAGAGGGAGGAGCCATGTGGAGCACGCTGAACCAGTGGATCGGCCAGGCATCGTGGCACACCCTGGGCTGCAGGCTTCGCCGCGATCGGCCGAACTACGACACCCTGGTCCAGGAAGTGTGGCAACATCAGATGCCATACTGAGTGTGCGCCCTAGTCTCAAGGCTGTCCTTCGATTGATTTTCCACAATCCATCGAATTTGTGCTACCTACACTCTACCATCTATGCCCTTTTGTGGACAATCCTTCAGGCTAGGCTACATGATGCCTACATCTCGCCTCCACCGCAGGCTCTTACCATGCTGTGCCCACCAATCACTGATTCGCCCAATTGCCCCATTCAGGTACTCCACTCGGTACCGTGGCTCATGCTGCTGCAAGCTTGGCCTTTTGTGCATCGTCAGCACGATGCAGCTGAACTGCTGCAATATCTTCTACCCAGGTTCTCGCATAGTGGGTTCAATGGTGGCTGGGAGGCCCGAAACTTTGTACCTGGAGGTATTGCCACTCTTGACAAGGGGCCTACCCAAGCTCCCATTCCGATTGCGCTGCCGGTAGGTCCAAGTCTGGAGCTCCAAGCAGCCATTGATGGGTGGAGTGCTCAGGTTACAGCTCGCTATGCACTGCTGAATCCGTCTCCCATGCTCTGTATACAACTTCAACGCTTCACAAATGCCGAGGGAGTCATGCGCAGGGACACCAGACCACTGGTCGTGGCCTCGACTACAGTTCGTATGCCACTCTTTACAGGTCTGCACACCATGCAAGTTCGCTATGTCCACTACCAGGTCGTCGCTGTACAGCTTCACTACGGGGCCACTCCTGATATGGGGCATTACAGGACTATCTTACGAGGACAACCGCTGTTTGGAGCAGAAAAGTGGTGGATCACTGATGACTCCTGCAACGCAAAGCCAGTCAGTACAGAACACGATGACAACATATATATAGTGTGGCTACGTCAGGTACTACCTCCTGGTGCCTGATGCTGAGCAAGTGTAGTCTTAGTCGATGGAGCTGGCACTGCCCTCCAGAACCCAAAAGAGGTTCCAGCCACCGGAACACCCGGTTGCTGTCTGCTCGCTAGGCGAACTCGGACACTTCGCTGCGTGGTGAATGAATGCTACTACTGCTACTACTACTACTACTACTACTACTACTACTACTACTCCTAGTGCCACTGCCACTGCCACTGCTACTGCTACTGCTGCTACTCCTGCTGCTGCTACTACTACTACTACTAAGACTACTACTACTACTACTACTACTACGACGACTACTACGACTACTAGTGCTACTACTAGTGCTGCTACTGCGGCTACTACTGTGGCTACTACTACTACTACTACTACTACTACTACTACTACTCCTGCTGCTGCTGCTGCTGCCACCGCTACCGCACCGTTGCCTCTACTGCCAAGGCTGCTGCTACTGCTAGTGCTACTGCTTCTGCTAGTGCTCCTGCTCATCCTCCTGCTCCTGGTTCTGCTGCTACTGCTACTGCTGCTACTGCTGCTACTGCTACTGCTGCTACTGCTGCTGCTACTACTACTGCTACTACTGCTACTACTACAACTACTACCACTACTACTACTGTTGCTGCTGCTGCTACTACTACTACTACTACTACTACTGCTACCACTAGTACTACTGTTACTAGTCTTGCTGGTGCACTGGTAGCAGTCAGTCGGGTGCTAGTCCTAGAATCTCGGAGCGAGCATCAACGACAACGATAAGTACATCAGCAGCAGCAGCAGCAGCAGCAGCGGCAATAGCAATAGCAATAGCACTAGCGCTACACTAGCACTAGCACTAGCAGTCACTAGCACCAGCACTAGCACTCGCACTGACACTGGCAATGGCAATGGCAATGGCAATGGCAACAGCAACCACCAGCACGGCGGCAACGAATGGACACGCTCCCTCGATCTCCCTAAGTTAAGCAGTTAAGCCGTGCTCAGACAGGCATGCTTCCACTGACTAGTGTCCTGGCAGTGGAACGGGCTGCTTGGCTGGAGGAGAGATGAAAGATTCTCTTGGGACAACTTCGTATAGTCTCCTCCTCTCTCTCAGGCAATCCGCCTCACTGTCCAGACGCACCTGCTTGCAGCAGCATGCATAATGCATCCATACATCTTGACACCCGTACATACATGTGTACGTATGTAGGTCATGTAGGTACGTATGTACACACACACACACCGCGTGTCTAGGTATGTGAGTACATATATATATATATAGTATAATATATAGACATATGTAATGCCACACGCAATAAAGCCGTAGAATTAGTTTTTCATTGTCATCCTTAGTCTCAAGGTCGTGCCCCCAAATAAGGTGATTCTCGGAGGACGGGCGGACCTTGTGCGGAGGCGAGATCGAAAGCCTACCGTCTAGACATGTGTCGACTGTTGTTTTCAGGGTTCGAATCCGATACAGGTTTATGCTTAAGGCTTCGGGTGTAGGCCGAGCAAACAACGCTAATACTGGCCAGACAGTGAACATCGAACCCTAGTCTGAGAAGTCTCCGCTTTCTGCCTGAAAGGCGGTCTTACTGGGGTGTCGACAAACCAGACTTTTCTTTTCCTGTGAGGGGGAATCATGAAGCACGCCCGGGAGTGCAGCTTGTGGTAGGATCGCAGGGGAAAATGGTGTGCGGTCAGATTCCCAGTCTTAGTGTCCGCATTGCGTATTTTCGCTTGCAGGAAAAACGGATCCTTCATCTTCAGCTATGATGTCCAGATTAACAACGCGCGAGCGCCTCTTCGGCATACATCGCTCTGACATGTTGAAGTCTGTCCATGTAGTTGTTTGATCCATCAAGGGCAGGTTCCTGACGAGGAGGCTTTGACTCTGGACGGTTCTCTTGGGAGGACACATGACGCAAGTTCTGCAAGTGAAGACCTCTTGGCAGTGTTTTGCGAAGCGTTTTCCAAGCACATTCGCTGAGCAAAGTGCTGTCGCCTTGGATTGGCGAGGGCTTATCGAAATTGGAAAACAAATGTCTAAGGAGAGCGACGTAGAAGTGGTCGGGCACTTCTGGGAGGCGACACGGCAGCAGTGTCTCAGTGGTGGCGGGTCTCAAAAGTTCATATCTATTTCCATGCGAGGGTCATGACTGCAGAAGCTTTCAGTGGTTGCAGTTTTGCTTGGATGTCGAATGACGCTTGTTGCTGAAGCTAGCGAAGCAGTCAACAGAACAGTGCCTCAGTCAACACGGAAATACAGTTCTCCAATCCGTAGCAGCCGTCGTAGCCGTGGTGGTGGAAGCAGTAGTAGGACCAGCAGTAGTAGTAGCACTAGTAGTAGTGTGTAGTAGCAGTAGCAGCAGCAGCAGCAGCAGCAGCAGCAGTACCAGTAGGAGTAGGAGTAGGAGTAGGAGTAGGAGTAGGAGTAGGAGTAGGAGTAGGAGTAGGAGTAGGAGTAGTAGTAGTAGTAGTAGTAGTAGTAGTAGTAGTAGTAGTAGTAGTAGTAGTAGAAGTCGTCGTAGTTGTAGTCGCCGCAGGAGTTGTAGTAGCAGCAAAAGTAGTAGTAGCAGCCGCAGTAGAAGTAGTGGTAGAAGCAGTAGTAGTAGTAGTAGCAGCAGGAGCAGGAGTAGTAGTAGTAGTAGTAGTAGTAGTAGTGGTAGTAGTGGTAGTGGTAGTGGTAGTGGTGGTGGTAGTGGTAGTGGTAGTGGTAGTATGAGTGGTGTACGAGTATGAGTATGAGTATGAGTATGAGTATGAATATGAGTGTGAGCGTGCGTGTGCATATGCGTATGCGTATGTGTCTGCGTATGCATATGCGTATGAGTATGAGTCCGAGTCTGAGTCTGAGTCTGAGTGTGAGTGTGAGTGACTAGTAGTGGCAGTAGCAGTAGCAGTAGCAGTAGCAGTTGCAGGAGCAGTAGCAGTAGGAGTAGTAGTAGTAGTAGTAGTAGCAGTAGCAGTAGCAGTAGCAGTAGCAGCAGCAGCAGTAGCAGTAGCGGCAGCAGTAGGAGTGGTAGTAGCAGCAGTAGCAGTAGTAGTCAGCAGTATTATGAGCTGTAGTAGTGGTAGCAGTAGTAGTAGTAGTAGTAGTAGTAGTAGTAGTAGTAGTAGTAGTAGTAGTAGTAGTAGCAGCAGCAGCAGCAGCAGCAGCAGCAGCAGCATTGGTTTAGTAGAGGATGAGGAGGAGCAGTAGGAGTAGGAGTTGGAGTATGAGCAGGAGCAGCAGTCGCAGTAGTAGTAGCAGTTGCAGGAGTAATATTAGTAGCAGCAGTAGTAGTAGCAGTAGTGGTCGTCGTAGTAGCAGTAGTAGTAGGAGTAGGAGTAGGGGTATGATGCTGCGCGAGAAACTTCTGACCTCCGCTCCCTTCCCGATCCCGAGCCAGAAAGCCTTCGATGGGAAGGTGGTGGACTCTAAAGGTCGCCGTCACATCGCTGCATCCGGCGAGGGGGTGGGAGGCAGGCAGTGTGTGGTGAAGCCTTCTGCGAAGCATCACCAGAGCTGCCCTATCTCACCCTTCTTGCCTGCAACGATTCTGACGGTGTCGATACACAGCTCACTATGTTGTTCCATCCATGTCTCTTCAGGTTGTTATTGGCTTGGTGTACATTTCGATGTAAGCATGCTCATACAAGCACGGAGCACATGCACATGCCATGCATGTGTGCATGTATGTACGTACGCATGTATGTGTGTGCGCATGCATACATACGCATGTATAAAGAAATAGATGAGTAAATTAATAAATATATATAAGTATATATATATATATGCATATGCATGTATATATAACTCTACACTCTACACATACATACATACATACATACATACTTGCATAGAGCTGCACTACATCTGTGTTTGCACAATATGCACATGCATACGCATGCATGCATGCATACATGCATGCATCCATATGTACATGTATGCATGCATAAATGAATACACACGTACATGTGTAGCAGGCGTATATGCTCATACATGGACGCGCATTTGCATGTGTGCCTGTATGCGAGGCATCCAAACTTAAGTGTTTGCATGGTGCTATCTAGCAGAATGTCCCGTTTGTCGTGCGAGATGTATTCTTGCCGCGAAGGACAATGTCTCACCCGTCTGCGTATGCAGTATGTACCACGCATGCGACGGGTGTGTCCGTATGGCTCGATGTGTATGTCTACAGGTTCAGTATCAGGGACCAGATGTTTGACATAAACCTGCAACGCAGAGTCTAAGTTACACTAAACTCCTAAGCCCCAAACCCTAAACCACAAAACCCCTAAAAACCCTGAGGAGTCTTCAAAGGAACGAGCCGCAGCCTGGCGGCGGGCGATGCATTTCGCGTGCAGGGGCAGGCCGCTTGACAGTGTTTTGGCGGAGGTGGTGGGGTTAGGGTTTAGGGTTTAGGGCCTAGGGTTTAGGGTTTAGGGTTTAGGGTTTAGGGTTTAGGGTTTAGGGTTTAGGGTTTAGGGTTTAGGGTTTAGGGCCTAGGGTTTAGGGCCTAGGGTTTAGGGTTTAGGGTTTAGGGTTAAGGCTCGGATTCCAGATGCTGGTTTTGCAAGTTTAGTGCTTCAGTGTATCCAGGGCAACATCTTCGAGCAGACGTCTGAACTATGCGACCTCATAGAAGCCACAAAAGCTGTCTGTTGAAGGGCTTTATTGTTGTGTTGTCTGTGCATGTGTTTTCTTTCGTCTTCAGCATACCTTTTGGCAGCTGAATTCCGCACGCTGCTGTTATGTTAATAGGTGATATCACCAGTACTATTTATTTTAGCAGATCGTTGCATGTAGTCGTGTTCATGTTGATGGTCATGTTGTCTTCATCATGGTGGGATGTTGTCGTGGGGGTGGCGTGGGGTTGGGTGGGGTGGGTGGGGGGGGGGGGGGTAGTGCTGCCCATTGTAGTCTTCATGGTGATGTAATGGTCATGCTTGT